CCACGGGTTCGGATCCTATATAGGGATGACCGGTTCGCTCACAGCGCTCACTGGCTGAGCACGGTGCGGCAGGGCTCAAAAAAAGGACAAAAAAAAAAAAAAACATATCTCAATGTTGAAACCCAACAATATGTATAATCAATTTTGATTCAATAAAAATAAAAATAAATAAATAAATAAATAAATAATAAATTTCCCTGACAAATCACTTTTTATTACCAGGCTATTCCAATACATACTGATTGGAGGGTGTTAGTATTATGCTGTTTGTTTGTTCTCATTAAAAGAGCTGGAGGACGTTCTTAGTACATAAGAAACAAACATCCAGAGATGGCACAGCACAGAGGGGTAGGGGACATTCTGGAGAACAGTAACATTCACTGTATTATCCCAAACAACCAAAGGGCAAAAAGGCAATTGGTTACCTGCTGAGCTGTGGCAGCATCCTGTTGGACATAAGCTACCTGGCCTGGGTCTGTAAACAGAGTCTAGACAAAAAAGAAAAAAAAATTATCAATAGATCTTTAGACAGCCTGCCTACACAGGAAAAATCATCCTACTGCTAAGCACCAATTCTTGGGAGAGCTAACTCCCACTATAGCTAGTAATAATCCTTCATTAATAAAGATGATAAAGATAGTAATCTTACACTTAGCTAAAGCCCTTCATTCAGATGGCTCCAAAGAGACTGTGTAAGCTATCCAACCCAAATGGCTAACATGCTCCACGATTTTACTCTTAAGTAAAGCCCTTCAAGTTGAATGTCACAGCTAATTATAAAGGCATGTCATAAAAACATAAAAGATATGCTGTGTACTACTGTACACACATTCACACATAACACTACTCATAGGAGCAGACTTGTGATTAAATGAAAGTGGATGAAGACATACAACATACCAAAGAGTACTGTATAATCATGGATTACAAATTTTTCAAATATAAATGCACGTTTATTATCAGAAGAGAAGTAGAAGGGAAATAAATTGAACTTAATGTTCCACAGGTTCTTTTTGGATAAAGCCAATAAAATCACTAAAAAAAAAAAAAATTTTTTTTAAACTAATCATTATAGGGGGGCCAGCCCGGTGGCGCACTGCTACAGTGCGCTGTTTGGGAGCGTGGTGGCGCTCCCGCCGAGGGTTCGGATCCCACATACAGACCGGTTCCCGCTCACTGGCTGAGCGAGGTGCGGGCGCGACACCGAAGGTTGCGATCCCGTTGCCGGACAAGAAAAAAAAAGACAAAAAGGAAAAAAAACAAAAAAAAACCTAATCATTATAAACACACAGTAAGTTGGGTCACAATGCAGCAGAGCTAACTAGAGAAGGAAAATCTTCGAAGTGATTATAGCCATGACAACATGGTTAGTATCTCTAATCACGAAAAATATTCTTTCTTTTAAAGCTTATAAATGACTTTAATTTGCCGTAGCCTTTATCAAACCTGTGGGAATAAAAATTATGCTCAAGTTTTGATTCCAGAGGAATGTAACAAGAGTGTCAGCCAGCATCAGATTTCTCAGATTTGACATTAAAAAATTATCGTTAATTCAGACACTTCGTAACACCATAATCTAAAAGTTGGGTACAGGACATTCTTTACACAAACTATCTGATCTTATTTTAATATAGTTAGGGGACTGAAACTAAGCAGAGGCATTCCAAAAGTACCATTCAAATATTTGATGATTTTATCTTTATATAGATTTGAAAGGTATTGATTAGGTGGGCCTCATTTCTTCTTGGGAGTGATTTGAGCCTTGTGTTAAATATTGAATGAGGGCAAATTTTTATTACAAGGATCCTACTATAAAAGTATGGAATTTGTTTTTCAAAAACATATGTTTAAAAGCACTTTATACATTGTAAAGTGCTAACAATAAAAACTGTATATATTGGGGAATATTTGCGTCATGCATTTGTAAGCTAACACTCTAAATTACTGGCAAAAAAATAAAAGTAGCTATAATTGTACAGCTTTTACCAGTAACCGCCTTTTGTTTCTATGACAGTTCTATAAATCAGTAACTTATTAATAAATAGTAGTTAATAAGCTAACAGGACCCTTTGCTTACACAGTTAACTGAAATAATCTGTATGTTTTCACTGAGTCATCTTCGGTTGAGCTATACAGAAGTAGGGCTGGCTGGTTAGCTCACTCGGTTAGAGTGTGGTACTGAAGGTACAAGAAGGTCAAGGGTTCAGATTCCCATACTGGCCGGCTGCCCCCCCCCCCAAAAAAAAACCAGAAATGCCATTTTTGGCCTGGTTCTTGATACTTAGGAAAAGTAACAAATTCACAATCTAGTCAATGGTCACTGGGGAGAAGAGCTGATACGAAGCTAGTGCTCTAACTTCTTGTTGCATTTAATTTAAATAAATAAACCATATCTTCCTCTGCCACGTTGGTTATAAGCTTCTTGAGAGCATAAATCTTACCTATTTTCTGTGTCACCAGCACCTAGCACAATGACTGGCAGAGAGTAAAGAGAGTAAATAAATGGTGAATTAATCAATCAACAAATTATAAACGAATAATCCTTCACATGCCTGCGCAGCTTCCACAGGATGGATGTACACTAGTGTGTGCTCTGGACCATCCACTGAAGTATAGGAGGCACCATCTGCTGTGTACACCACCTGCTGGGGTGGGCGAACCTGGTCATCAGTGTAGACAATCTGAGCCACAGTTCCAGCGTCTGGAACAAAGTGCACCTGGAGCAAAAAGCAGGCAAGTATGTAGCAACTCTCCTGTTAGGACAAAATCAATCACACAAAAAGTCCCTGGCCAACCAAGCACACTTGCATTTCTAAAATATTCCCAATGAAAGAAGAATGGAGATTGATACACCTTCATCTACTGAGTTAGTGACTAGGAGACAGGATCTAAGGACTTTATCGCTGATTTACTGCTTAAGGTTAGACAACTGACTTAAACTCCCCTTTGCTTCAAATGTTTCATGCAAATAACTCTTTCAGGGAGTAATGAAGGGGTGGTTAATTGATCCTGGAAAAGTGACTGAAGATTCCTGCTTGACAACACTACCAAAATACAAAATACAAATTATTCTGTGATGTGAAAAAATATGTCAAGACTCAAAAGCCAATTGCTCTCCACACATCATAAAAATTCCGTTTTGTAACTAATAGCACCTTTCAGCAGACACATTAAAATAAGGCCACTTTCTTTCCTAGCAGTTCTTTCATACTAAAAGGACATACTGGAGGCATATCAGTTAATGCTTCTGAATCAATGAATGTAACAGAATCCTACCATGCCAGCGAGGTAAAGAAAGTCATAATAAAGGCTTCTGGACAACGATTTCAGCTGTCACCAGAGTAAATAATGTTCTATCTCTCAAGACCTAAAGAACTAAAGCAGAAACCGAGTTTCGTAAAATACCTTAGGTGGTCTGCTTTGGAAGACTGAATTCTTGAAAGCTAGAGCTTGGCACACGGCCTGAGGCCTGATATTGAAGGTCTGGAAACAGATGGCCAAAGTATCTCTCAAGACCTAAAGAACTAAAGCAGAAACCGAGTTTCGTAAAATACCTTAGGTGGTCTGCTTTGGAAGACTGAATTCTTGAAGGCTAGAGCTTGGCACACGGCCTGAGGCCTGATATTGAAGGTCTGGAAACAGATGGCCAAAGTACACATTTGGGAGAGAAATAATTTATGTGCTGATATTGAAATGAGGCACTCTTAGGTTGGAATCCTTACTCTTATACCAACTTGGCTTTGGACCTAACTTTTTTATATCAGTTTTCTCCAATGGGGAATAGTAGATCCCAAATGCAACATAAAGTAATTTAATCCCCAGAAAGAAGCCTAGCAACCAAATGTAATGAAGCACCACAGAAATACAACAAACTTCCACTTCTATACTAAATGAGTAGTCTGGCTGCTACATAAATTTGACTTGCCCATGAAGGTAAAGTTTGCATATTGGAAAATAAGCCTCATAACATATTTGTGCAGTTTTAATTGCTGTAGGATAATTTTGTGACTTTATATCTATTCATTAACATCAAAGCCTTAAACTAGTTTCAGTGAGGGCTGGCCCGTGGCTCACTTGGGAGATAACACCAAGGCCACAGGTTCGGATCCCTATAGAGGGATGGCCAGTTCGCTCACTTGGGAGAGCGTGGTGCTGACAGCACCAAGTCAAGGGTTAAGATCCCCTTACTGGTCATCTTAAGGGCCGGCCCGGTGGCGCACTGGAGAGTGCGC